CGGTCCGGGAGATTGTCACGAGCGAGCGGTCCGGCGGCACGAGCGAGTGGTCCAGCGGCACGAGCGAGAGATCCGGCGGCACGAGCGAGAGATCCGGCGGCACGAGCGAGAGATCCGGCGGCACACGAGCAACTGCGGCAGGCGAAACTAAGGGATCGGCTCCCCAGCTGGGGTTACGTGATAAGTGATAACGGCCTGTAGGGGGGTCTCGTTATCTCACAGGCTGGTATCTGTTATTGCGACGGCCTCCCCAGCCACGTAACTACTCGCGCAATCATTGCTAAAGAGAGAAGACCCACGGAAGTAAGTGAAGATATCGTGATACAGCCAAAACACGATATCTGGTCAAAGCCAGATATCAGCCCCGGAAATAGAAAGCTAGCTTGGTGTTAGTGAGCTTACCGGTAATACTATTAAAGGTAACTTCATTCGCAAAGGATTGTAGCTCCAACTCCGAATGTCTTCATTCGCTTCATGAATCGGGGAATCGATCATTCAAGACGCGAAAATATAAACGCTAACAATAGGCTAGCAACAATATGTAGGAAATAAAGAACTCAGTACTGCTACTATGATTACCAATTAATTTTATTGAATGGTAGCCAGAAGAAGAAACAAGAATGTGTGAATATTTACCTACGCAGCACCAACCACAAATAAAATAAAGCCAAGACTGGCCAAGACTTGAGTGGCACTGTCGATTAATTACTGTGAATAAAAGCCTGGCACGCCTGAAAGGGGGTTGATATCCTCCATATATGTAGGCCATTGTCCTATTGTAAGGTCATTCATTATATATAATGCTCACGCCATTTGATGAAGACTATGAAATGTTGCAATGCCAGTGCGCCCATACCTATGCTATCTTGGTATCTATATGGAACAGCAAAAGAAAAAGAGCATGCGTAGATCAAATGTCGAATACAGTCTCTTCAGTCAATTGCTGATATAGTTGTGAAAACCTAACCCATCTTCTTAAAAATTCATATCCAGCACAGCACAGGGCAAAAATGATGTGAAAGGACATACAGTAAAATGCCGCCGGCCCCTCACCGTCACCGCTATGCGCCAGCGGGTGCGTATATGTAGTTCGACTCTCCAGACACACACCTAAATTTACACACCTTGGTAGCACCGCGGCCCATTTCAGCAGCGCCAGGAGGGCCCAGCCTGGCGCCAAACCAGACCGAGCACTGCACGACACCACTCCCGGAGACGCGGAAACGGCTCCGGACTCAGACGGAGGAAACGGCTCCGGGCTCAGACGGAGGAAACGGCTCCGGGCTCAGCCGGAGCAGCGGCCACACACCAGCCGCCTCAGCAGCGCCGCCGACTCCAGCCGACTCCAGCGGGCTGATTCAACTGGAGCGGCCGTGGAGTCCAGATGGGCCGGCCGCCCTGCCAGATCAATACGGGGCCCCGGCGCCGCCACTTCACCGGGGTCAGCGACTGCTGCCAGCGCGCGCTCCCCAGTGGAGAAACCACCCACGCACGTCATAGTAGGCAATACTAACGAGCTCACATATGACCATTGACCGTTCCCAATGTGATAGTGTGTAAGAGAATGCAGTGAAGAGTAGCACAAACACAAAATGTGAAGAAATCATCGGTACCGTTGTGAGCAGTCGAAATACAGTCACCAGCTGAGAAGAGAACCCCAAAGCAGAGAGGAAAAATCCGCAAAAGCTAAAGCGCGGGAAAACTATGGGCAAAATTTGTGTAATGGAGAAGCAAAGCCATTTCATAGAGAAACTAGCATCACCAACGAAGAAGGATGGGTTCTACCCGAACACGGCAGCGGAGCAGTACATGATCAGATGCAGATTAGCCGGCTAACTGCACAGTGGAAGAGATGTAGTTAGAGCATAGATACTGCCACTCCAAACTTCATCTGACTGCAGAAGGCTACAGGGACACGATAATTAGCAAAGTATCCCTAGGCATCCCGCCCCCGAACATTGCTGAACTCGCTACTCCTCAATAAGCCCTATGTGTCCACAATACCTAGTAGCAGGCGACGTCCGTCCGGTTTTCGGAGAACTGGACCGTTCGATAGTCCACAGAGCCTTTTTCCGGGAACTGAGGGTCAGTGTGGCACCGCCGTCTATCCAGCACAATACCCCGTGCCGTCCACTTCACGGCCGTACCTGCAGCGGCGGCACGGCGCGTCCACTGACAACCCTCACCGACACAGACCACACAGCACACAGACGGCAGGACAGCGGCACTAATACTCCTCGCCGACACAGAGCCACAGACAGCAGCAGGTCGGCAGCAGTGACACCCATCACCCACACAGACCACAGACGGCAGGTCGGCCGGCCTGCGGCGGCGGCACGGTGCGTCCACTGACAACCTTCACCGACACGACAGCTCGGCAGGTCGGCCGGCCGTCCGCGGCTGACACCACTCACCGACAGTCACAGGTCACAGACGGCCGGTCGGCGGCTGCACCGACACCTCTCACCGATACAGAGCCACAGACAGTAGGTCGGCGGGTCGGCGGCTGCACCGACACCTCTCACCGACACAGTCACAGGCCACAGACAGACGGCAGGTCGGCCGGCCGGCGGCTGCGCTGTGCCGGCCCGCGGCACCAGCGCCGCCCACAGGTGTTAGTCGGGGTCACCCGAGGCGTGGGAGGGAGGCAGGGGAGGAGAGGCGGGTAACAGACGTCACTGGATAACGGCAATCAGGGGGGATACACAGCCGCAGATGTGTCATTCGCGAACGGTGGATAAAATAGATTCTGTGAGCAGGCTAGCGATGTTTGGAAACCGAGCTTGGTTGAATGAAGGGGTTCTTAGCACTATAGTCAAATGTCTCGCCGCTCTAGGTCGGAGTGAGATATGCCAGTGACATTCCTATTGTCGCCTGTTACATTGCGCGCTTTACTAATTTAACAACATGTGTGCCATCCCGTCGCCCAGGCGAATAAGAAGTCTGCTACTAGCTGTTTAGAAATCAATGTCTGAGTTGGTCTGAGTTGGCACAATGCTACACCGCACAGCTGTGGATTCACAGCAGTTCTTCATTCCCTGTCACATCAGTGAGTTACAGTTTACAGGAACCTTTGCCTAACGGCTAACCGCCAGCTCGCAAGATTGGCCCCGCAGCCTGACGGTAGGAGAATGATAGAACGTTTGTTTGGTGAGATGTCAGCACCGCATATTTAATAAAAAAAAAAACGTGCAAGAACTGTACTGAAAGATGCATTTGTCATCTTTCGTGCAGCTGCATCGTCACATTAGCCGGGGCCCGGGTTTGATATCTGCTGATAGCCCTTCTTGACGGTGGAGAGATAGGCTTAACGATGAGGACGATACAAATTACAAACTAATCAACATCCTGGACTGGAAGGGAATGCGATCCCAAGACATAAAGATAGCAACATGACATCTGCAACTTAAGACGATGCTACGAGTTCATTCACAACTTGATCACAAAAAAGGTGACGCACATCCCCGTCATCGCTACTGGCAGCCGACCTGCCAACTTCTTGTGAATCAAATGAAAAGTGTCGATATTAATGTGGATCAGATTCACCAAATTAAAGGGACTATCCCACCTTCTAAAATGTTGTTAAAACCAGTTAAATTGTGCCCGACCTTATAGATTGGATGACCAGGAACACGGTTCTGGCATTTATTTTTTATTAAACATCTTAGGCTTCCCATATTCCAAACACAAACTTTCAAATATGTGACGACACAGCCCAAAATTACCTCCTTCCCCAGGTCACATTACTGTCATAAAGCTGATTCTTTTTACTCTGTAGGCACCACAACAAACTTCAGACCAAGTTTTAAACGATTTTTTCAACGAACAAACCCATTTAAATCAGAATGACTAAACGAGGTGACGTCACACTAACGGTCGCTCCATGTTGAAGATAGGGCCTTGCGCAAGGCCCATTCTCAAATGAAGGGAACGAATTTCTTCAACACCAAGAGGCCGCGGGGGTTGCAACCTAGATAGATAGTGGTTTCTGAACCTTGCCGCAAACTTGGCTATCTCAACTCAAACCCCATGTTAAAGGTGGGATAGTCCCTTTAAGTGGTGACACCAAATCCCGTTAAAATGCGACTCTTAGTGGCACGTAAATAGACAGGATTCCACGATCTCAGACGCTCGAACAGACAGGTCCCACCGTCACGGGACCGCCAGGTGTTTAGACCGGCCGACAGCCGAGACAGACCCAACAGGTGCCTGGCTAGCTCCCCCCCCCCTGCCAGGGTCACGCTGGAGGGGGGGGGGGGCTCAGGATCCGGGTGACACCCACCCAATACAAATAGTGATGGTCTCCCGGGGCAGCTCAGCCGTCTGCGACCCGGCCGGAAATCAAACAGTGGCCGTCTCTGAACGGCAGCCCCAGACGAGACCAGTAGGTATACCCATTCAGCGGTCCTGAGAGCGTCAGCCAGCCATTCAGTCGACTCGTTCCCGAGTCGCGCGGCGTCCGTTTGGCACAAACAGACGACCACCAATATCGTCGCCTCAGACTATATGGAGCGGCATCGATCGAGTTCGGCGTCGGAGGGTTCCCATTGCTACAGCCGTATTGTCGTAAGGTAGGCACCCCATGCATCCATCGTGGCTGTATGCACATCTGCACAATACCGGCTCTATTGGGCGCTAGCAGAGACAGTGGTGGTAACCTTTTTCTGTCCCTCGTGAGGTAGGTCGTCCAATGGAATCAGTCGGCGCTACACACTCATTCCTGCAGACAGCATGGCCTTTGGACCTCAGCTGAATTTGTTCCCAAAATTACTTTCAACGAATGTGTGGGGTAAAGAACGGCTTGAAAGCGATTCCGAGCCACTGGCATTACTTTCGGGTGCTCTTGAATTGTCTAACATGAATAAGACCCTCCGCACTGACATAAGCTGAGTGGCACTCCCCACTGATCCATTGAGTGACACCCACCGAAACACTTTCCACTGACCCATCTGAGTGAGACACTCGCCACCTCAGTGCGGCACTGCCCGCCGGCGACCCACCTTGGTGTCTGGCTCGGCCAGGGAGGCCATCAGCGGCAGCATCACGGGCCCGGGCTCAGCGATGGAGCCGCGCGGCGTGGCGAACGGCGTCATCTCTGGGGTGGCCACCGTCAGACCAGGAGGCGCCGCGTACTGGCAGCGAGCCGTGGCGCGACGCATGGTGACCGGCGCCGAGCTGCCTGCAAAGGACACGGACAGACGAGAGACGGTCAGTGGGAGACGGAGAGACGGTCAGTGGGAGAGGCAGAGACGGTCAGTGGGAGACGCAGAGACGGTCAGTGGGAGACATGGAGACGGTCGAAGGAAAGTCAGGTGGCCATGACACTGCAGTAGGGCTGAGACTTCATCGTCGACGGATGGATGAGACATCTCGAACGCAATATTACCACCTACAAAAGAACAGAGAGAAAATCCGAAGGCAGCCACACACAGGAATGGTTCGCCATGACAGCCACCGTCGATGAAGCTCAACTGAAAGCGAAATGTTTTATTCTAAAACTTGCCTGGCATTGGACAGATTGCAACAAAGCCCTACCGGGGCTCTCTCTCGATCCCACAAAAACAGCCCCAATTAACACTTGGCACGAAGATCGAGAACCACTGTTCAGCAAATGGCGCACCGAGACCGTCCAACTGTGCAGAAAGTGGCGCACCGAGACCGTCCAACTGCGCAGAAACTGGCGCACCGGGACAGTCCAGAGCACGGGGCGGGACTGGCACGGACGGGACCTCCGACACGGGACCGGACCGCGGCTGACGACGGACTGACGTGGGGTCGGCCGCGGCGGGCTGGTATAGTCTGGCGCCGGGCCGCCGGCGGGACGTCACCGCCCCCTCCCCGCCCCCGCGCAGCCCGGCCCCACCCCGCCCCGCGGCTGCATCAACAGCGACAGCTACTAGTGCGAGGTCTGGACCGGTCTGGCGAGTGACCCATGAATCACTCAGGGATCACCTCAAAGGATGGGCACCACCCAGCGGCGGCGGAACACCTTCAATTAAAGGTAGTGTGCCAGCTTTCTTGGACCGTATGGAGTTAATGGCCCAGATAAGGAGAACCGGATTTTTAAAACTTATCCATACCTTCAAAACTCATGGAAACGTCTTAAATTCTTCAAATTTTGAGTACCCCAGTGCGAAATTCGCCCCGACGGGTTGTCGGTCGTACCCCAACCACATTTCACACCACTATGAACAATAAATGCACACACTGAAATCGCTATTACCGATATGCTCATCCAATCAAGTTTCGATAAACCCGTTCATCATCAGCTCCTGCGGTTTCGAACACGCCTGTTAGGTGGTGCGGTAGACCACGCCCAAAGCCAGGGCCCCGGTATCGTGAGGTAGCCGAGTCAGGGCAGCGTGCGCTGACCCAAGCCGGAGCCGCGCGTCCTCCCGGTGTCATGTGATAGCCCGGGGCTGCCCGCGGGGATGCGGTAGACCGCGCCCAAAGCTGCGGCCCCGGCTTGGGTCAGCGCACGATGCCCCGACTCGGCTACCTCACGTTACCGGGGCCCTGGCTTTGGGCGCGGCTTCTGCTCATACTTTGTGGTGCGGTGGTGGTGCGTCGGGCTGCGCGCTCTGACTTCGGCCAAGAAAAATGCGTCAGCTGATCATTGTCATTTCTGCCACTTGCGTGTGGTGAAATGGGGTCATAACTTATAAGACGGCTTTTTCATATCAATTATTTTACATAAAATCATATTTCAAACCATAAATAATGTTCGACAGCCAAATAAAAGAAACCATACCAATACGGGCTTACAGTTTAAGGCTCGACATTGTGTTGTCTACGATTAGACAGCTGATAACTCATTCCCGTACGTCGTATGGTCGTAACACTATAATGACCTTTGCTTATTGTCACAAGTGCGCCGCATTCGCGATTGTTGCCCGACGCCTGTTTGCAGGTGAGCCCACTACAGTTGTTATACATATCTAAAAACCGATAAACTTTTAGGCGAAAAAGGCACTATTCCAGGCCCATTTTTGATTTTTTTTTGCGATATTAGGTAAAAACAGAAACTTCTTATCCTAGGAAAAATAAAATGGGAAATCTTTCAAAGGTGGCACACTACCTTTAAGGGAGGAACTGCCGAGTTTTGGTCCCATTCTTTCCATGCAACGCCCATAGGGCTAATGTTAAAATGCCAAAATCAAAGGCGGGGGCACGGTGCCCCACCCCCGTTCCGCCGCCTATGGCACCACCCAGTCAGGCATCAGCAATTGGTAGGAAAGGGAAGAGGGACATCAGCGACTGATATTCCAAAACAACCGTGGATCGACAGACTCGCTAGGAAGACACACACCCCGCTGCGGGTTATCCACTATCCAGGACAGCTGATGACTGACAGCTAGGAGCACGCCACGCCTAAAGTAGACCAGATTACGGGGAGCATTTGGCAGTGGATCGCAGGCTCCTGGAATCCCCCCCCCCCTGGATAACCGGAGCTCTGTTCGCACCCCGTTTATTTATCAGCAGACTTATGACGTCGGCGGTCGATTTACGTCACGGGACATGACGTCATCACTGCAAGCTACGTGCTACGTGAAAGAGACATATATGATGCTGTACTGACATTGGTGGCGCACATAAACAAATGCTCTCCGCACTGTTTTGTGTGTTTATTGTTTCACATAGGTATGTTGTGATTATATTCGGTTTTGAAAATTTATTTTTTTGTGTTAGGTATTTAATTTTATATGCTGTTTATTTGTTCAGCCATAGGTGGCAGGCATAGAACGTTCATTTTCTATTTGTAAACGATTTTACCTGCGTTTTTGTTTTTGTTTTGGAGTACCTACTTCATAGAAGAGTATTTCAATTTAGTGTTTGATTGTGTCAGAATATGTGTGCTAAAATGCAATATTTTGCTTCATTAGATTTGCTGTTCCCTGAAGTTTGCAAGGATTAAAATACTTGGCCACTCAATATTGTCATTTTATTTCCCAATTTATGTTCACAGTTATTTATTATAAGTAGGTACTGTGTGGTGATACTTTTGCTGTTTCTTCCTTCAAATTATTGTTATTGCCTTGTGTTTTATCTTGGCATGCCTATCCATGTAATTTTTTATCTTAAATATAGGAAAATATTCCCAAGAAGGCACTGAATTCATAGCACTCGTACATGTGGTGATTGTTGGTGATGTGTATCCCGGACCGTGAAGCTTGAAAGCCTACTTATGTGCCACAATTTTAAATATTCAAGTTGATTTTTAATGATTAAATTATAAAAAAGTTGTTCAGAACCTTGCACGGACTGGTTTGCATATGGAATGATCAGTTCTCATCAATCCAAACAAAAATATGGCACATGCTCATGAGAACATTTACTGCAGGTCTTTGTCCATTTGCTGGAAAATGCCTTCCGCCAGCTGTCCGGTAAAGTCTTCAGACCTGAGGCATCATCCTGTTATCACTCTGAATAGCTTGGTGAGGTTGCTGAAGGCCTCTATTACTGCTTCCTCTGAGGCTCTGACCCTGAGGTGCTTGAGCAAAAAGCATTTTGGACTTTAAAGGAGGGATTTTTTATGTGGGCGAGGATGGATGACATGATTATTATTAATATAACGAGGCTTGAAATGATCTCACGCATGTCAAAGTGTTTTTATTTTAGGCAAAATAAATATCTAAAACAGTAAAACAATCTAAAACAGTTTTACTGTTTTAGATATTTATTTTGCCTAAAATAAAAACATATAGGAAGTATCATTAGAATATATGACCTTCTCCTCGGAAAATGACCAAATGAATGAAAATGATTATTTATTGATGAATTGATGATATTTCGGTCACAGACCTTCGTCTAAATCGAATTCGTGAAATCGTACAAGGCAAAAGTAGCGAAATATCATCAATTCATCAATAAATAATCATTTTCATTCATTTGGTCATTTTCCGAGGAGAAGGTCATATATTCTAATGATACTTCCTACATTTATCATGCTCCTCGCAACAGCTCTCAACGATATAAGATAAAAACACTTTGACATGCGTGAGATCATTTCAAGCCTCGTTAGGGGAGTCAATTTTCTGATCCCTTGTTTTCTTGGCAGGTGATTTATCGCTGCTTAGGGCCAGCGGCCCATCGGACAGCCTTGAGAAGACCGCCGCACGCTGTTTGCAGTCCGTCGACCACCTGTCTTCAACGGACGGACGCCCTCGGTCCCACTCAGCAATTGACTGAAGCCTATCGCGCCGATATGCTCGCTCATCTTCCATCCTCCCTCGCCCTGCCTGATGGTTTCGACGACCCGGGCTGTGGTCCCTGAGTTTCGGAACCCGTCTCGCTGGCCTGCCAGCAGGAGGCCTGGCGCTCGTCGCAGACGAGCGCTGCAGTGTGGCCAAATGCCTTTAATTTTTTGGCATTGATTCGTTGTGTGACGTTGTTTTGTTCGCATGTGGCCATGTGGATAAGGCTACTGGCCAGTGGCCATAGCCTTATCCTTCTCGTTAAATTTGTTATCTGGAAATAAATGTCACCACTCACCATAAATGTGTTCTACATGGGCAATGACTAACTATTCTACTGTACATTTTACGGATGTCACATTTTCATGGTGCTTCAGAATAGATATCACAAGCGTCGTACCTCTTTGTTACGTTGATGACGCACCTGTAACCGCAGGCAATAACAGCCGGACACAGGCTGACACGCGCTATTCACCGATGGGCATATGAACAGATGGGTGTCGTGATCGTGGGCATGGTACTGCCTAGACTCGGCAATAATTAGGGCATTTTTAATTCTCGCCGAACCTATCTGTTTTCTTCATCAGATGCCGTTTAGGGGAGGGTAGATGGACTCTGCCCTCCCCGCCCCTCGCCATTTCGGACTAAATTGCGACATTTTAGGGCCGTGCAGAAGTCCACTTACGACGTCCCAAGTCAGTAACCTGACCTGACCTAATAATGTGGGCGGTGTGAAGATCCGTCTTTAATGTTCAAGTGCGCCAGCTTTCATCTTTATACCAGCGCCTTCCGAGCAATTACCTTAAAAAGAAACGTCGAGGCCGACACCCGAACCCCCTCTTCTCGGTGGCGAGGGCTAGGGGGTGGTGCTTATTAAGGGAGAATGGCTGTGCTATTTGTGCCATTCGAGCCCTACCAACACCTGTGATGAACCGACGCCCGGTGCGAAAGGAACATCGGCGTTCTCGGGCAGTAGCGGCGGAACACCTTCAATGAAGGGGGGGGGGGGCACTGCCGACCTTTTGTCCCATTCTAAATTCTTTCCATGCAACGCCCATAGGGCTTATGTAAAAATGTCAAAATCAAAGGGGGCACGGTGCCCCGGTGCCCTCCCCATTCCGCCGCCTATGTTCTCGGCAAAGTTGCCAATGATTTGCAAAGTTTGAATGATTCACTGCATAATGCCAAGTCCTTTTGGCTCCTGCGAGATGTCGCTAGCGCGTTGATGAAGTTCAATATAGAGGTCACTAGCGTCGAGCCATGAAACCCAAGATTACTTTCATGAAACCTACGCAGCTAACGGATGGGGCTGCAGACAAAAGTACGCCAAAAGTACGTCGTGACCGTGGTCTCCACTGCGACAATCAAAAGGGACATTGCTCAGGCCCATGTCACTCCACTTTTGATGTCATCATAAGGGGGCCTCAAGACAATTAATGGCGCGGTGCGCCACAATCGCTCCCAAGCTACTTGCCAACAGCGGCCATTTTTGAAAATATTATTTTGAAATAAAGTTTCAAGTAATGAAAATATTGTAATAAAGTTGTAACTTAAATCTATACCATATCTAAAAACTTAGCGAAAAATGATTTATCCATAGTAAAAATATAAGCTCGATGCGTTTTTACGTTGCTTTCCTGCTGCTGCAGATGGTTTTTAAATCGTCTATATCTTCAAAACCGGCCATTTCTTAGCATATTGCTGCTCTTTTTTGTCGCTAGAAAATTAGTTGGGCTTTCCATTGACATCAACGGCTAAGCGGTATGTGCAGAGTGCCATCAATAATCTTCAAATGAAGTTGATACTTTTTACGTTGCAAAGGAATGGAGTACCCCTTGCGAGCATCAGGGGTGACGTCACTCAGGATCTGTCTCTGATTGGTCGGCGGGGGAGTGACTGTACCTTCTATAGATGGCCTTGACATTGCTCAGCTTGTTTGGCGCACGTGTGACAGCGGCGCGGGGCGCGCCCAACGGCCGCGCCTTCGCTGCGGTTGGCCCACAGCGACCGCACGAACTCTGCGGTTATAACAGCAGCCTACGTCACACACTGCTGGCGCGACTCGAGCTCCTATTGGACAAATTCACGTGGTCTCCGTTGCTAGGCAACAATCTCGTCCATCAGCCAGCGTATGGATGGTGGCAGTGGTTTTGTAGTGCCGGTAACTTTTTTGTCTGCGTTTTAGATCACTTTGTAGCCCCATTAAAAGAAGAAATATCTCACTTTTGTGGTTGCCCATAGTAAGCGCACGGCGACCTACGTCAGCAGCCTGCGTGCGTTTCTCGGCCTCTCATTGGTCAACAGCACAGTCCTATCTCTTCAACACAGTAGCCACCTAGTGGGCTGTTGGGGAAGCTGTTTTGACAGCAGCGGGCGAACAGAGCTCGGGTCCTCACTGGATCACAGGCCGAGCCGAGCCCTTGACCAGAGCGGCGTGCTTTGCGCCCAGCGTGGCCCGAGACAACGGGTGAGATTATGTAGGTGAGAAGTGTGAAGACCCAGCGATCGGTTATCGCTCAACAGTCAACATCGTTCCGGTAGTTACCGGCAGATGGCATCGTTCCTCCAACACATCCAGCGATATATCATTTGGCATAACGTGAGAGAGATCCCATCCGGACAACTTTCGAGCGTCCTTTGTCGCCATTCCTTTGTTCCGACCCAGTTCAGTCATATTTGACTGTTTACATATTGAACGCTGTCCGCACACCCAGCCGAGGAGCCGCTCGCTGTTCTGTTCTGTTCTGGAGATAACGGGACGACCGAGAACGAGGGTGAATCACGAACGCAGACGTGTCCCGAACTGAGACACGTGTCATTCCGGTCCGACCCGTAAGCGCTCGCGACAGTTTGACAGCTCTGCCAAAGCCTGTCAATGGAGACGACAAGTGGACTGGGGCGTCACGCATAATTTAGCGAGCCTAGCAGCTGTGTCAGTTAAGCATCAGCAAAAGGCATGAATAAACAGAAGTAAACTTAAAACATTATTACATAAGCTCCCATTACAATGACAAGTTTGGCAAGATCTAACGACACATGCAAAGGCATTCAGCAAAGGCTCGATTCAACACACAGGTACACTCGGGGGCAGATTGATGTTCCACCACTCCCTACCCATCGGGCTCCCATGGCTCATCACCGTCTGCTGCCAGCAGGGTTGTGCTCGACTCAAAAAAATTTGCCGACTCGACTCATCATTCAACTTCAGAAAGCCTTGACTCAACTCTGACTCAAACAAGGATCTGAATTTTTCCCTTGACTCGACTCATGACTCAAGCGGCTCAATGAAAATATGAGTTGACTCAAACTTGACTCAAAATTTTTGTTGAGTCAAGCGTGTTGACTCAAAATTGACTCAGATAAAAAAGTTGTTGAGCTCGACTCAAAAAAATTTGCCGACTCGACTCATCATTCAACTTCAGAAAGCCTTGACTCAACTCTGACTCAAACAAGGATCTGAATTTTTCCCTTGACTCGACTCATGACTCAAGCGGCTCAATGAAAATATGAGTTGACTCAAACTTGACTCAAAATTTTTGTTGAGTCAAGCGTGTTGACTCAAAATTGACTCAGATAAAAAAGTTGTTGAGCGGGGTGTTGAGTTTGCATATGTTTTGCGCAATTAATCTATTTTGTAACTAGCGGTCGTAACTGTTCGCCGTGGGTGGAAAAAAATCCGGCAGCAGGGCCAGGCCTAAGTTGTTGAGCGGGGGGACAATGAAAAGCTGAGGTATATATTGTTTCTAGAAAGATGAGTCAGCTGACTCATGTTCCTAAATGCTTTTGACTCAACTCAATGTCAAAAGTTATTTTACTGACTCAACTCTGACTCAACTCAACACCTTAATATTTTTGTCTGACTCAACTCTGACTCAACTCAACAGCTCAACATTTTATCCGACTCGACTCAAACCTGACTCATCTGAGTCAGAGTTGAGTCAAATCGCTGACTCGACTCATGAGTCAAGCACAACCCTGGCTGCCAGTGGCAGCACTGGCACTGGCAGGCAGTGCTGAGCAGTGCTGAGGGCAGGCAACACTGGCAGCAGCCAGTGCTGAGCCATGGGAGCCCGATGGGTAGGGAGTGGTGGAACATCAATCTGCCCCCGAGTGTACCTCCATTGATGAATAAAGGCACAAATTAGCACGTTCTCAAAAAGGATTAACTGGTTCACGTAAATTCGGAAACCCTCCAATAGTAGCCAGATTGCGAAAACCCCGCGATCATTGAAGCAACCATACGCGTGATTCCCGTTGTGCGCATCCTTCAGAATCTCTCGATTTCGTACCTACTACCTACGTCACACCCTCATAGCAAGTGCTACCTCAATGTAATCCGATCCGGGTCATCATCCAACAAGTGTCAACTGCGTGCCCTCGTGTGCCGCAGCACGCACGTCGACCCCTGACCCGGTCGTATCACCAGCCTGACCCCTGACCCCGCGCATATGAGTCACCTGGCTCATCACATCATCACGAGGACTCGCGTACACACGGAGATGACCGGCGGTGACGTGTACGTTTGAGACGCTTCCGGAGAGCTCGAGAGTGCGCTAAGATGACGAGCCTGTACGGTCTGCGAGTGGTTCTGGGCGGACGTGTCCCAGCGTCAGCCACCAATTCTGATAGAACGTAGACTCGGATCGTCCCAGCGTCAGCTACCTACTCAAGAAGATCGTCCGTTCGAAATCGTTCACATATCCGTGGGGACGCCAAAAGGCAAAATGAACTCCAGTGTGTCTACCGTAAGTTGATGGCATGCCTGCCATTTCGCCTCTGAGAACGAAATAACACGGAATAACATCACATATTGCAGGTGATGAAACTATTCTGAGAGAATTTTCCCAAACATCGCACACCGCCGATCGGAATGGGTCGGACTTTGACCGCCCGAACATTGGCGTTGCACCACACAGACTCGCAGTTTGGCGTCGTCTCGTGGGACCACGACCGCTATTTGCGCTGTGAACGTGCTCAGGATGCCAATCTCAGCACGCCAGCCGAACAATCTCGGCCGGGTTCCCTGCGACGGACCGACGGACCATCGTTTTATCCAGCTGACCGCCCGCAATAGCTTTGATAGAGGCATGGTACAGCAGCTATTGGAGCACGTAAAATACGTTCACCTGACCAATACAGATCGGCAAAAATGCAACATGACTTTTCCTATCAGTGGACGGTTCATGACCTTGACCTAAGGCCAAAATTTGTAGTTGACTTTTCATCAAAGTTCATGCCATCCGGATGTGTAGGCATTGTTCGGATCACTGTCATGGAACGGATATTCTTATATCCGACCAATGACAACAGATATTTACAACAATGAATAGAGTTAAAACTAAACAAGCAGAAGCCTGCCGAGTTTCAGCCTGCACCGGAAGCCTCACAAAGTCCCGTAACCATACGTCGCCGCCGGGCCCGGCCGGCCGGTGTCAAAGGTCAGCACCGCGCCGACCGGTGACGTCACAGGCGCGGTGCACGTCCGCCGCCCGTGACCGGTCGGGGGCGGTGATAGCCTTGGGGCGGTGTAAACAGGGCCCAGTGGCAGACGGAGGCGGGCCGGGGGCAGCCAGACTGGGGATGGAAACGGCCACCAGACCGGGCGTGCTTGGCCAAGACAAGTGGACTTTTGAATAAATGTCGAATTCAATGTCGAATAAATGAATTCTTTGAATTTGATGTAGGTATTTAATGAAAAGTCCCTTGTAATTTTCGATTATGTTGTAATTTTCGAAACGTCTGTAAAAGAATGAATGAAATAAAGAAGTGGGAAAATAATTATAACGTTACTTGCAAAATCACAACGGTGACTCATTCAACTGCGGTGTTATTACAAAGTTGTCTTTTGTACTTTACAGAACAGCAACAGAGCACGATGCAGCTAATGTGGGTGTCATGGTTTATTGCCACGGCCGGACACGGGTGTTACCCCGCTGCAGTGCTGACGGGACGACCCTGCCCATCCCCTCCAGTTCGTATGCCGGCGCTCTACCCGTGGGAACACGTGTTTCTGAGCTGACAGGGCTGAGCTGCGGCAGCCGGGCCCTATCAGCTCGGGCTGCGTCAGCCGAGCCCTGTCAGCTCGGGCTGTGTCAGCGCCGGTCGCCAGGCTGTGTCAGCGCCAGTCGGCGGCCCCTGTCGGCCCACCGTGCCCCGACCCCGCTCCCCGCCGGTTCAGCTGCCGACAGGGCGGCATCCCCAGCTCAGCAGCTCAGCTGACGACAGGGAGACCTCCCCGGCTCAGCAGGTCACGGTTCATGCTCCCGGTGACGGCTGCGGCCGGCCGCCGAGCGGACCTCAGAGACCGGTCCGGCGACCCACACTCAGCTTCTCCAGCTGGGACTGGTCCAGAGGATTGTGGGGAGGGGGCGGTCGACCGACCATGCATCACTTCAGCTGGATAGGACCGCACTGGACGTCCTCAGGAGCTTGATGGGGGAGGGGGGGGGGCACGAATGGCCAACCGGACGCTCTTGTCTGACGCGCGGTAAAATGCAAGTTGCCTTGAAGGGACATTTCCAATGAATACAACTTTTTACAGAATGCGATCTGTGCGATCTGTGCGAATGCGACCAGGTGGGTTAGTTGCACGGCTCGGGTTTTACGCTTCTTTTAACCCTCGCCCGTAAACGGTGTTTTGCCACCTCCGCCCATGCAGGGGGGGTTGGTGCGACCCCCCCCTGGCGTTTGAAAACGAAGCGTCGTAGAGCTTAGCGGAAAAGACCAACGGATTGCTCTCAACGAGATCTCGCGATTGGTGGTATATTTTTTGGTCCTAGGTCAACATTTGACCTAATTATGACCGGTCAAAGGTCAAATTTTCGGAAAAATCTAACTTTTTCAGATTTCCGCGCCGATTGCGGCAAAACGGTAAGAGATATCGACTTGAAACCTTCACTATCGTGATCCTTGATCAATTCTCTATCGTTTGGTGTGTATTTCGATGTCATAACTCTAAAAATGATGCGTTGGGAGCATCGGAAGTCTGCAAGGTCATTTGTGCATTGGGTCACGTCAGGCGTGTGACGTCACTGACCTGACCCTGACCCAAAATCAGTGGCGCAGCCAGGGGGGGGTCAGAGGGTCAGCTGACCCCCCCGAAATTTCTGTCAGGGGCCCGCTCGAGAGAGAGAGAGAGAGAGAGAGAGAGAGAGAGAGAGAGAGAGAGAGAGAGAGAGAGAGAGAGAGAGAGAGAGAGAGAGAGGGAGGGAGGGAGGGAGGGAGGGAGGGAGGGAGGAGAGAGGTCCTAATCTAATCGGACGAGCCCGCTTCGAGAAATGCCTACTGGGACACCACGGGTGAGGGGCCGGCCTGGGGCCCCAGGTGGACGGGGCCCGGGCCCCCGGGAGAACGGGCCCGGGCCCCCTGGGTGGATGGGGCCCGGGCCCCCCGTGGATGGATCCGGGCCCCCGGGAGAACAGGCCCGGGCCCCTGGGGGAACGGACCCGGGCCCCCGGGACAACGGGCCCGGGCCCCCTGGGTGGATGGGGCCCGGGACCCCCGTAGATGGGTCCGGGCCCCGGGCCTCGGGTGGACGGGGCCCGGACCCCCGGGTGGATGGAGCTCGCGCCCCCGGGAGAAAGGGGCCCGGGCCCCTGGTGGACGGGGCCCGGGTCCCCGTGTGGATAGGGCCCGCGCCCCCCGTGTGGATAGGGCCCGCCCCCCCCCCCCCGTGTGGATAGGGCCCGGGCCCCCCGGTTGAATGGGGCTCGCTAGGGTGACCTGCTTGCTCCGCAACGCGAATAAGGGTATTTTCGATCGGTGGGCGTTTGGTTGGTCTTGTGTCCGTGGGTTATGCATCCATTTCGGTCGATTGCTTTTTGACGGCTAAGCATTTTGGTTTGGGAAAAAATATCCATCGCATCGAGGTGCTCGTGTCTGATAAGCATGCGTTCTACTATAGAACATGTCATGTGTAGTTCATAACAAAGGTTGACGCAGGTTATTAAATGAAAGCCATCGATGAATTACTATGTAGAGGTTTGAAACATTTTTTATCTTTAAGAATACTGTTGCTCGTCATGCAAAAGCGATGATTGGATTCTGAACAAAATTTAATGCTCTTTCCAACTATGCCATTTTCAACTGTCAAACGTACCAGGTTATGCAGAAAAACCCGTAAAAAGTCCTTAATAAATACCATTTTCTCCAGCGATTTGTTCCACCTTGTTTTTGGTCAATTAGCTCTTCACAATTTTTCCATGAGAGGCGCTACATTTCTTTTGCCCACAGGCGTTGTTTGAACCCACTCCGTCAAACAGTCACCCGAAAATAGCATTAAGTCCCAAATCTGTCCGAAACGTCAATTTTCCAGCATAAGTGCCCTCACGGGTGCACGTGGCGCGTGCCATCCCTGCACCGCACACCATTCGATAACCCGTTCGATTCTGTTCCCTGTGCCGGTCGGGCCCACGGTTACCGAGATACTGCACGGGGAGCGGACCCGTGTCGGGCAAATTGAGCCATTTTCGCCCGATTTTGCAAGCCGATTTATACATGTAAAGTCTATGACGCGAATTTGCACTTTTTGAGCACGCACCATGTGTTCGCTATCGATCCGATCGAGCTGAGACTCTCAAAGGCACGTTGCCCATCCTTGATCTATAAGTTGCGCAAATTTCAGCGCACTGGGCGCAACGGTCTGACCCATACCCCGCGCTAAGTAACACCATGCCGGGACCTCGGTAGCAGACAGAATCTACGTCACCACATCACCACTGTACCACACCACATTTCGGCCTCGAAAGATAGGTACGAATTCATACGTCATTGTAACCTATTTCTGTCATGGTCAATTCGCGTAGAAATTGAACACTGGGTGATTACCGAGCTATTGTTCTATCAAAATTTTCCGATTCAAACTCGCTCAGGGTTATCGTGCAGGTAAAGGGGGCCCGCTCAGCAGAACGCGCATGAAATATGGAAAGATTTTGAAAAATGGGTGGGGGGCCCGCACACCAGGGGGGCCCGCTTTGGAGGCGATGACCCCCCCGAAACGAAATCCTGGCTGCGCCATTGCCCAAAATGAACTCCAAGAAACAACCGACGATGCCTGAAATGGATAGCAAATTCGAATTCAGGGCATCAAAATACCCCGAAAAGGCATACAAGTGCAAGAAGTCATTACAGGTCAACCGAGGTCACTGACCTGACCTTGACCTTTAGTAACCTTGAAAAGGTCAACGGACATTGTGCCAATGTCAAATCAGCCAGTTATGATTCTAAAACAATCCATCAGTGTGTCAGATCAGTCGGCATTTATACCAATGTGAAGCAATCTCCAATTTAGCGTAAATCTGGCCGGAGGTTGTTCCCTTTATGACGTCATAACTCCGTGACCTGACATGACCTTGACAAAAAAACCAAAAGTTGCGCAAAGGATGCCCCATAGGGTACTGAAAATTTGAGCAGGCTATCTGAAACGGTTCGGCGTGTAGCTAAGAAAACCTCAGGGGGGGTTGCACCCCCCCCCCCCTACATGGGCGAGGGTTAAGTTTATTCTTCGCAGACTTTCCAATCGAGATCCTAAAAGCAAAATCGAGTGCCGTGAATGTTAAAGACTATCACCATTTGATTCGTTCCTGAAACGACCGAAATGGTCACCGATATCAGCGATAATTACAATCATGGGTAATATAATGGAAACAAAAACACAATAGGCAAAGGCACTTCAGTGCCCAAACTAATTGGCTACAGTGAGGCAGGTTATTTCATTCAACAATTACCTAGTGTTTGATTCCATATTTGCTGAGATACTTTTACAAAATTGAATCACAGAGCCGTGGTCCGGTGGGTCTGGGTGGTATCCGGCCCGCCTTGGAGGTCCGTAATGCCAGCCTTCGCCGACATTCACGGAGTATTTGACCCACGCTTTCCAATAGCCCATGTGTTTAATGTAAATTGGAAAACCTACAGTATCGTTGCGCATTCCATTTGAAATGGCAGCAATTCCACGAAACAGTGTGTGGTAACTGGCCATACGTTCCGCACTGACTGATGTAAACACGCCGGGTGAGTGGCACAGTGGATATGGCGACACAGGCAGTAGTCAACCCGCACCAGATACATTGAGACCCCCCCCCCCCTTCCACAAGAACGACAGCTGAAGAATTATTATAAACACAGCGAACTTTGACATCAGACAGAAAGCACTGCGATAGCGACTCACCTCTGGGTGGAGGTGGAGGAACAGCGCCCGACGGCGGCCGGTGCGACGGTGGCGCCGTCGGCGGCCGGCTGGCAAACTGAGCACCAGAACTCAGTGGTATAGATGTCGCTGGCGGCGGCATGCTGGCCGTTGCCGGAGCCGCGGAGCTGCTTGGAGCGGTTGGAGTCGTTACTGTCGCAGTGGAAGCCGCAGCCAGCGGTGCGAACACGGACTGCACGGAGGGCGGCGGCTGGACGGCCGGCCGGGCCGGCGGGCCGACCAGCGGCGCCAGCACCGCCGGGGTTGTTGTTGGTCCTCTGAGGTGCGGCTGCAGCGGGTCCGTCTCGGAGGCCGGCAGCTGCGGCGGCACCGCCGGACTAAACACAGACACTGGCGCCGGGGCGGCTCCGGACGCTGGCAGACTAGCTCCCGTGCCGAACCGTCCCCCCGGCCGGGGTACCGCCCGGAAGGCGTTCAGAAGCCCGCCGCCGCCGCGGGGCGGAGGTCCGGTGGGCGGCGCCGCGGCAGCAGACAGCGGCGGGGGCGGTGCAGTCGGTCCCGCCGTCTGTCCTTCACTGGCAGCTGCTTCAGCCGCTGTGGGTGCAAAGAGAATGGAAATGGGTGAAAGGACAGCCATGTAGCGTCACATGAGAGTGGTGTATACCTGAGAGGGGCAATGCAGAATGCTCATGGAGCATTTATAAAAATGACAGCAGAAAGGGGAGCAAAACAAACTTTTTAAAAATTAGCTATAGAGTTTAACTCGATTGCTGAAAAAAACTCATTCAGCATCATGTATAGAATGTAGGCATGATATAGATAATACAGGAGTGAAAATTCCATAGGAGTAGAGATGTGTTAGATGTACCAAGGATAGATTCATATAAATTTCAATAACAAAACAAAAATTTCATACAATTGTCATTGATGTGTTTCTTTAACTTCGAATTTTCCTATTCCCTTTCAATGAACATGTCCTGGGAGGTATGGCATCGCCCATGACAGAACTGCAAGTAGCCTTTCAGTTTGCTGCGAACACAAATTGCTCAGGACCATTAAAAATAAGATGTTTATAATAAATGAGTAAATAATGGACAAATAACTGAAATGAATAACAGAAAACAGGACAAGTCATATGTTATCTTTGTAAATCTTAGATATTTCTCCATTGGGGATCTCCATTCTCCAGTCCATCCTGAAATCCTGATATTCTGCATGCCACAGGCAGTTTCACCATTTGATTTTGCAATGCCAAATTAACGTCTAATTAGGCATTTAGATATACATTTTTAAACAAAACCAATATGGGCACAAAATGAGCTTAAAAGTTGGATTTATGTTGGAACACCTTAAAGCCCCAATGAACAAACAAGCAAAACCAATATGTTGACACTTGACAGCACCATTGTGAAATTTAACTAATACACCTTTTTGCGTTGTTCGATGGCCAATCGTCATAACCATTTCGGCATCAGTTTGGACAAGCGTCATTCAGAATAACCCATCGGCGATGTGCATCACTGTTAGACGGTCGGCAAAACAGGCTGGACTCCATTTAACCATTCTGCATAACTCTTTGTCATTGAGCACAATGTTCGTCATAGGCAAAACACTTTGTCAGATTGTCATAATGCTTCGACATTTCACAAAATGGTTAGTCGATGTGCAAAATTAATCGGTACTGTGCGTAAACAATGACTGTTTACTTAAAACTTTCGTCAATGATCAAAATGTCAATGATGTAGTGCTTATCTAGCCATATTCAATGTTTAACGTTAATCACGCATTCAGGGATGAGGCTTATGACAGTTCCAGCGCAATTTGCAACCAATTAACCATTGAATTCCGAAAAAGGCAGTTATACCATAGCTACGAGGAGACTGCCGGCGCCATACCGAGTAGGCATGTAGATTCTTGAGCGTCGGACTCCTAAACGCTTCGATACAAACCACGAAGTCGGCCGTCATTATCGCGTCACTGCCCGTGCGATGTCATGGGACAACGCCTCGGGCGGCCGCGCCGGTCGGACTCGCGAGGGAATGGCTGACAGATGGCAAGCAAGCCTGCCGGCCGGACACCTTGGTTTTTGGGGCGTGGCTCACTTAGCCAGCCTGTTGCCTGTTCCTTGGTGTTTGAGGCGGGATTAACTTATCCAGCCTGTTGCTCTGTTGCCTGTCCATTTTTCAATCAGCCGATAACATGTCAGCTACGTCCATCTACATTGTACCTATGGCGCTCATGAACGCTACCGATTTTTATGTAAATCAATGGTCTACGAGTTTTGCCACCTATGCCTCGCACTGCACTGTATAAACCCGGTCATATTTATACTTCTCTGTAAAGGGGCGATCTGTTTTTAGTTTTGACGAAATGTTATGAGGAATGCCGAAATTAGCATGGGGATGTTTTGGTGAACGACGAAGGGATATTAACGAAAGACGAAGCATTTATCCAAATCGTCAAAGGTTTTGCCGGAACTCAATCAGTTATGGCGAATAGCGAAGGTAATACCAACTGACGAACTGTGGAGTGGGATCAGCATTCCGTTTTGCCCATATGCTGAAGGTTTTGCCGGAATGCCTCTCACTGGCGCCACCTATGTGCTGATCGGACGAATGGGTTTTGCTGATTGGCCATCGAACAACGCAAAAAGGTGTAAAATGATGATGACCATCCACAATCCACATATTTGCAAAATGAAATTTATGATTGACTAACAGAACTTAGTACTTATGTTCAACAGATACCTACCCAAAATAGCAATATGAAAACATGAATGGCTGATAGCATTAGAGAATTTAACAGATAAAGTTGTGACAAAATATTGACAATTTAAATAACTGATTTTTACGTTAGCACACAACCACAACCACAGTCAAGGCTAAAATCTTAACTGGTGGTGGATCAAAAAGACAGATACTTACAATGTTGATGCGAAACAGCTTGCTGAGGGGCTGGAACGGAAAGTGCTGGCATTTGGACACCATCAAAAGGAGATCCAGTATTGGCAGAAAATAAGAGTGGATTTATCTTCTGGGGAACATATTCACTTCTTGCTGGATTAGCCATCGTAAGGGTATGAACCAAGGCAAGATATTTAACTGAAACAGATTAAGTTCCAAATTTCAATTTGCAGCCAATCTTCAACGATCAATGCACCAAGCTTGTATTCTACCACTCACAACTTGAAATAGTAAAACTGAAGAAAGTCTTGCCATCAGAATAATATTCCCCTACGCGCAATCAACCAATGTTTTCAACGTAATTGGAATTGATATATCATGTCACCCACATATCACCTACACCACCAGCACCGCCCTGCAATGCCTGCAATCAAGTCACATATAGAGATCGCTCTTGTAAAGGCGTTTTACCTTTTCCCTCATACGGTAATCACACCCTTAACGACACATGATTAGAAAGTTAGGTCAAATTATTTCCATACATGGCGCATCTAAGACAAAATCACCTCTGATATAAAGACAAGCTGCTACAAAATATTGATACTGCATTAACATTTTGAATTGCGTGAAGATTGCTCTCACTTAGGTCTTGAGCTATTTGAATAAGGACACAATGGAATCGTTAAATATTTTCGCATAAACATACCTATCTAACAACGTCATTGCAATTCTTTGTACATTTTTGTTCTTCATTAAAAATGATGCCTTTAGGATTTGGCCTTGGGAGATTACATCATTGGGTAATTGGTATTATTGGGATTTGCAGTTTTGTGACAGGTCTTGGAAGGTTTTGAACCTCAGATCTTTCCGATCTATTCGCAGGACATAAAGATGCCTGATTTTCGTTAACCCGCGCCCTGGTGGGGTCTGTTTATAACGCGACCTGGTGGGGGGGGGGCTATTTTTTGCCCCCCCCCCCGTATCTCCGAAACTACTGGACGGATCCGCAAAATTCAAACGGCGTTCGAAAGGCCTGTCAAATTTGTTGACGGAAACCAAATTTCATTGACCTCAGAGTCACCGATGACGTCACAGGTCAGGTCAAAGATGAAATGCTTCACCGTTCACGGGTCTTCTAGGGAATGCGCTATAACACCGAGGAAAACGCATTTTGTCGAGAATCAGCAATAGGGCGTCAGTTGCCTAGTAGATATGTTGCTATTAGAGGTCACTGACAATACCAGGTCAGGTCACAGGTCAGGTCACCAAGGGTCACAGGTCAGGTCACATGAGCCCAACTTCACCAAGGTTAGGTATGTGATGCATGTTTTATGGCCAATTTTTCATTTCCAACTCAATGGTGCTGGTTACAAGACTATCAGGTACGGCTTAGGTCACTTTCTGGTGAAGTTCAGGTCAAGGTCAGGTCAAGGTCAGGCCAAAAAAGGTCAAATTTTAAAGTTGATAGTTTTGCATAAAATGGGTATTGATTCGATGCAGCTCGTCACGGGGAGTCTAATGGTGGTCTTTGTTTTGCGCTACGGGGTCTACAATTGCTAAAAATTGAGTTTGAAAATTTGACGTCATCAATTTTGAACAGTTTTTTCGCTATAATTTCGCCAAAAAGGAGGTATCAATCTCAAATTTGGTATGTGGATGGAAGGCGGTAAGGACTATCACATATATTCCGGTTTTTGCGAAATTCAAAAACTTTTTGGATTTTTCGATTATTATATCAAAAAAAAATATTGTTTGATTTTTGGGGGTCAAAATCCAAAAATTTCAAAAATCCGAGATAGCAGTTTTGTAGCCCTGTTGATTTTACAGCTTTTATGTCTTAATCATTTTTCTGTATTTGCAAAGCTTTAGGCCTGACAGCTCTTCCCGCAAAACCCTTTTTTTGGGTCGAAAACGGCAGAACATGACGTCACTCTGACGTCATTTCCGGCCAACCTATCATAGCTTTTGGAAAAATTTTTTGTCACAATGTGTAAAATTGATGTCCGGGAGGGTACTGAAAGTTTGGTGACGATCGGCGCAGCGGTTCTGAAGATATATCGAAAAGTCTGGAGGGGGGGGGGCAAAAAATAGCCCCCCCCCACCAGGTCGCGGGTTAACACATCAACCCTGTAGTAGACTGAACCTACCCAGGCTTGGGGTCTGGGTACGCCCGTGATTCCACCCTCGGTGGGTCGCCTGGAGCCGCCTCTGGTGACCCTGCCTGGGGCATGTGGACCGAGCCCAATACAGACAGTTCAGAGCGGACCGCCGTGTTTGGAACAAACCCCACTGTTTCTGGCTGGAGTAGACGGTCACCAGCAGAGGTCACCAGCATCCGACTTGAGTAGCTAGCTCCCACCGGTGCAGGCATGCTCCTGTGTCGTGCGGTGACCGTTAGCGAAGATGGATGGCCTGTCCATCGAGGTGGGCTGAGACATGGCGGTGCACCATGATGGCCGCCCAGGCCAATATCTACCTCAAATTCCAATCATCCTTCCGGTTTTATTAAGTGGTCTCGCCAGACTGAGAGACAACTTTGGAAAACCTTTCTGGTTTGACCAATGCTTTATTATATGAGCGATTCTTAAATTTAAGCAATATGAGTACCTATAGTATAGTAATATTTAGAGCATCTTCATAAGTCGACGGTGGTAGGTACCTAATGTTAGTCACCGTGCCCAATGTATTTGAAATAATTAGGTATGTTTAAGAATATGCATTATTCAATTAGGTATTTACTTGCCCAGTTCAAAGCGCGAATGCAGGTAAATACCGAGCGATCGGGTGATACCCATGTGCAGGTCAATCACTCTAAAGATAGCAGTGGGGTCGTTCATTCCGCACGCGAGCTCCGTCTCCCCGCATAAACCGGTGACGGGCGCGCTCCGCTGTCCCCACCAGCGCTGCGCTTCACATCTGCATATAATTCATGTTATCCGGCTGATCGTACATCTCCCTCCCTCATGCATTATTTACGGTACCATGGTGTATCATGCATGGTGTATCATGCACCCCTAGCACGGCGCGATGCATCCTGCACGTCGTCTGTGCACAATGTGCATAGACGTGTCATCGGCGCCGACCAGCCTCAATGCAGGTCACATGTAATATATCGTGCATTTGTGCATGCATGATGCAGGCAGGACGCGGCTGAGCTCTGGCGACGGGGCGTAAGAGAAGGTCACGACTGCCCACTTACAGAGCGGACTACCTCTAAACAAGGCAAACTATTTTTGGTTTGCCGAATATTTTTGGGAAGTTTTAGGGGACATTTTTATAATCACGATAAGCTTGATGGTTTAAACTTAGAAATGTTCATTTATATTGGACCAATGCAATGTGAACCTAAAATGGCATTGTTAGATTGCAACACTAGTTTTGAAAGGTTAATTTTTGTTCTGTTGATGTGCCTAAACGTTTCGTTTTTCAAATTAACAAGCGAAGCAGTGCATGTGAGACAATTTAGTTCATTGATCCACGATCAGCACATGTCCTACATTGATGCCATTGACAGACAGCCCGCGACAAAACCTACACATTTCCTCGCGGATGATGTGACTCACCCTTCCCCGTCCTTCCCTCCCTCCCCCTCCCCAGTGCCGGACCCTCCCCCTCTGGCGCGCGGCGGTCCCATTCCATCACATCCCCCTCCGGTCATCGCTCGGCCCCTCGCTCGGCGGGGGGGGGGGGGGCAGAACCGTTCCACTTTCATTTCTCCCCTCGCCCCTGGGAGAGGAGAGGACACCGCGCGGGAGTCCCCTCCTCCCCCACCCCTCCCCGCGCGCCGTCAGCTGTTTCAGTTCCGGCGGGAGAGGGCGGGGAGGGGATCGGCGCCTCCCGCGGTCGTATTGATCCGCGCGGTGCCGGCCGGCGCCGCCGCTCGCTCGTGCTTCAGCCGTGACCTTTGTCGGTTCTGGCGGGGAACCTCGCCCGATGGCTTCTCGCGGAGCGGCGGCGGTCTGCAAACTGCAATAGGAAGAAAGGAGTGGGAGGTGGGGAGGGATGGAGTTGGGAAATGACAAACGACTTCCCATCCGTTTCGTCGTTTTTCCGGCTCCAGTGGCTCAACTCTTCCTCGATCTGGGGTGAGGTAAAATTCCATGAGGCTAGCTAACTTAACCCTCGCCGGACCTATTGGTTTTCTACATACGCGCCGGCCGAGGGGGGGGGGGGGGCGGGTACGACCCCCCCCTCGCCGTTTCGCCCCTGGTGGAGCTAGCGCGTCGCGGAAAAAACGAGCGTGTGCGCCGTTACGAGACGCAGAGATTGGTACCCGATTTTAAGGTCCTAGGTCAACCGGTGACCTCTGAGGTCAGGTCAAGTGCCCCAGGGTACGGTTCGGTTTTTGGTGAATAACTTCGCAAAAAACGGCCGCAGAGCGCCGATTTTGGCAGCATCGTGTTCGCCTCGCTCAGGCGCGTCGAATGATATACTTTTTGTCCGGGTCAGGTCAACTTGGGGTGTTGACCTCAGGTCAAGGTCAGGTCAGCACCCCCAGGTCACGAAGTTGGTCGAAAGAGGTCATGTCGCATATCATTCGATTCGGCAGGCCTTCCTGAGTCCATTGGTGCCTTTCCCGACTCGCTAGCTCAATTTGATCAAGAGTTATTGACGAAAAACTAATTTGACCTTGATGACGTCATAAATGACGTCACGCAAGGTCAACATTGCAAAAGTGACGCATCTAACCTTGCAAGGAGTGCATCAAATCACGATTCCGTGTGCTTGAGATAGTTGGAGATCGTTCCCGGCGCCAGAATAGCAGTTTGAATTTTTCCCCATTGACTTATACCTAATGGTGAGGTCACGAAAATGACCTGACCTCATATGACCTTTAGGAAAAATCCGAGATATACAAGTTGTGGGACTCATAATGGATACTAGATCCTGCAAGTTTCATTTCCCTGTGACATCTCCTCTGGCAGTGAGGGCGTTGCGAAGTTGCGATATCTGAAGACCGTGCAGAGGTTCACTTATGACGTCATAGGTCAGTGACCTGACCTGACCCAAAAATGCGGTTGGTGTCAAAAGATCCGGCTTGGATCAAAGGTCAGGTATGCCAAGTTTCAGCTCTCTATCGCCAGCGTGTTCGGAGCTATCGCGAAAAAACCCTATGGGGGGGGGGCGGCACCCGCCCCCCCCCCCTCGGCCGGCGAGGGGGGCGGGGGAGCTATTCCTGGCGGGC